GTAAGTTGTGATTTTACTTTAAGTATATGTGTACAGGATGTAACTGAAATAACCCCCACTAATCATACAGTGTTATTCCTAATAAAAAACTAAGTCGAAAAGTCCTTTATCATTTTGCAATTTTCACAATAGTTAACGAGATATTAATTTATAAATATTGCCGAATAAACGGATAAAATCGATGTGTAAGATAATTTTAAGATATCTTTGTGAAATATTTTGAAGATTTTTCTTAAAGAACTCTTAAAGATATCTTAAAGCTGTCTTATATGTCGATTTTAGATATTTTGCATTGGGTAACTAAAAAAATATTGCGAAAATTGTAAAATGGTAGAGGACTTTTCGTCTCAGTTTTTTATCAGGAATAGCACTATACGATTAATGGGCGTTATTTCAGTTACACCCTGTGTACCTACACTTAATAATGGTTCTCAAAATTATCTATACTGTAATTATTGTAATTTTACATACATGTAATTATTTTACAGTGTAAGTATAGATCTAAAAACAATTTTGTTGGATCATCAAAATAATTATATGTACAAACACTCAAGCTGGTTGTTAGAATGTCAAAAGTTTTTAGCATTGCTCATCATGCTTGAAGTTCGTACGTAATTATCTTAATGGTCTAAAAAGATTATTTTTAGATCTGTGTTTAGCTAAATTTTTTAATATTTCAATAAAATTATTTTTCCATGTCTTAATCTCGCTGAATAACGTATTAAAAATTTATCGATCTAAAAATTATATGAGTTTTTTATACTTTTTGATATAATTAATTATTTTGTATGACCACAAATCTAAAATTTCTATAAACAAAAGAGGTTATTTATTTATTAAGTTTTTAAATAAGTCTTTAAACAAGCCTAAAAATTTTGTTCTTATACTTATTTATGTTTGGAAAAATTACCATATTTATATAATAAATTGTTTGAGGATGAAAAGTTTTTCTTGTTTCCCGACAATTTAACATTTTAGACTTGTTTGGTTTCTGAAAAACCCTTTAATTAAAACATTTGCACATATCTTTTTCAATACTTATAGAGATACTGTAGAGAAAGGGTGAAGAGATAAGATCGCAACTATTACAAGAGCAGACGCATAAGAAACGGGGCAAATGTCGCGGCTCGCCCGAAGGTTTCACACTGCATTTATCTTACAAAGTTTCCGTTAAATTGAAGTACCGAGAATTATTACCTATGATTATATAACACCATTTCACAACGAGTCGACCATAGTCGAACCGACGCGGTGCGTGAACCTTCCTCCGGTACGCGCTTCTCGCGAAATTTAATTAAAAACTTTGCGGGAAATCTCTCCGCGCAGTGTGATGTAGCTGGAACGCGATTTTTGTGTCTTCGCTCGTGATAAAAAACGCACGTTAGAACAAAATGTTCCGCAGGAATGTCACCAATGGTTCTCGTTCTTCGTTGTTATTCACTTTAAAGAATTAAATTAAAAATGAAATCGTTTTCGAATTATGACGTAATCATTGAACACTCATTATCTGGATTACGTCGTCGATTTTTTGACAGACGGCGAAATACCGAAAGTTGTGCGTTTCGTTAATAAAAAATGAAATAGAATCGATTTAATATTGCAGGAGCAAAGAGAACGCTGGTGTACACGCGTGAGTCCAGAGACTTTGCAATAACAGTCACGGAATGACGTCAAAGTCACGTTGCGCAGCAATGTTTCAACAAAACCCGACAGCGACGAATTATCGCCGTCTTGTTTTATTTGCGTACTGTTGGTTTAACATTTACCTATATGAGATGACAAAAGATATTGCGGACGAAATTTAAGATAAAAGCAATCATTATTTTATTCGCGAGATGAGATAGAGCTGAGAGATAATCTCTCATATATACGAATTTTAATCTTTATGCGGTTTGCGTTCCTAATCTTTGTTTGCGGAAATTATTGTAAAATCTGATAAGCTGGTATCGTCAAAACATCCACAGAATTCTGTAATTAGAATGCCCACTTTGCCGCTATGTTTGATATGTTAAGCAATCCCTGATGAGGGCTCCCCTTTCTTGATCCACCTAGAATACGAACAGCATGATGTTACAAATGCTTTGAGATATTCTTCTGATTGGTCAATTAATAAAATTCTTTCTTCTGATTGGCCAATCAACTGCTTCAAAGCATTCGTAATGAGACTTTGATGTCTTTGACCGCATCCCTAATCACACTGTATAAATTATATAATATAAGGTTGTCTCAAAACATAATGTTTAGACTCTTTCCATTCGAAAACTTAGCTTCGGCATTTTCGTGTTAAACTTTTCGTCTCAAAGTGTTACAAAGAATCTGTCTTTAAAATATTTATCGTCAGTTTCACGATACTCTTAATAATCATATGATATGTCACGTAATACACTCAGACAGTACACACACACACACACACACACACACACACACGCGCGCGCGCGCGCGCGCGTGGACTGAAACAAAAACAGCTTAAAATCATCTTTATCTCTTTCACATGCAAAATAATCGACGTGAGCAGTTTAGTTGTAAAATTCTGTGGTAACACCATTTGAATTCATACATGAGAGTGTATTTCGCGATGCTAAATTCTAAATAACCAGAGATTCGACAGTTAGATTAATTTACCGTCATCATTTCCTTATGGGTAGGTCCTCAATATGGATACTGATTGACTGTCTAAATCAAGTGATCACATCGCTATTTAGTTCTTATGATAGTTACTATGATAGCCAATCAGACCATATTTTTTAGACAGCAAATCAGACCACGAAATCTCTTTCTATAACGAATCTCTGATTATCTGGGACTCTACATGATTCTTGTTAAGGGGTTTGTTTCTATGTGAGTCAATACATGGCTTATAACATCACCCGAGAAGCCAGAGGCCACGCTTAGACGGCATCACTGTGAAAGTTAAGAGGGTAGAGAAGAGAAGAGCAAAAGCATCCCAGCTTCGATTTATCTTCCGGCGAAGTCGCGCGAGGATCTTGCCGAGAAGAGAACTTCTGGCGGAACCATTAAATTCCGCGCGCACATCCTTGGCGCCCAGTAAAGATATTAGCTTGGGAACAACCTCCGCCGCGGAATCTTCGTTTTGATGCGCGGGGAGGGAGGTGATATTTTATTGTTAATCGACGTCCCGATCAACATTGTTCCCAGTTATCCCCCTAAATCAAATTTACGATGCTTGAAATGTGGCTCGAGGCAACGCGTTAAGCTCGATTCACACGGCGTTTCTACACGAATTTCAACGTGAAACGTGCTTTCAACTCGTCGTTCCGCGAGTTTGAAAGTTCCGAATATCTTAAATCGGAGTATCACTTAATCATCCAATTATATTGGACGATAATACGGGGTGTGTCACCATGCTTCCGAGTTGCACGCATGATCGGCGCGAACGTTTCCCTGCAGAGTGGAGTGGACACGCATTAGCTAAGTCAGGGACGTCGAGTTTAATTTTGCTGCACGGAACATTGTTCGGAGTTCCACGTGTCAAGGTTGTCGGTAACTCACGAACTAACGGCGGAGTAATAAAAGTTATTTTACGTTCGTCAGCTAGGCGCGAGTCGCTAGAATGCCATCGGCGAGACGCATTCGCTACACGTATCTTTAATACTGTCCGACTAAACTGGTCACTGACTGCGAAATGCTTTTTTTTTAGTATCAGCCACGAAATTCGCGTTGTAAATTTTTTTCTTATTTGACTAATTAATGCCCAATTTCTTTACCTCTAGACAATATTATCCAAGAAATATCTCCCAGAATGCAATGGAGATATCTTCTGGATAAGATTATCCGCAAGTTATCTGGAAGTGAAGAAATTGGACATAAGAGACGACTGACGTAGAAAATTCATAGATAAAGAAATATACGAGAAGTACGAATCATCTTTGTATTACGTTAACTCGTCCAAACCACACATGTCGTAGAATAGTTATCCACAGCAAGTAGGCTTCTCATTAATAAATTAATGTCAGCGGTAGGAAAACAGTATGAATATTTATACACCGATTGAAAATCAATTTCCTTTTTTTTCCTCATACGTAAGGCAGGAAACTGCCATTCTAAAATAAACGTCAATTCTCGTTCTAAGGCTAAAGGAACGTACGTCAGCGAATACATTTCGAAAAACGATTCTAAGTGATATTGACGTTTTATGAATAACAAAAGAAACGGAATCGGAGAGAAGATAGAAAGACTTGGGGGTAAATATTCGCGCACGATACCAATACGAACGAGAAACAATTTGCAACATATCACGAGAAATTTTTGCGGACCTCGTTGAAATACAACGACTCTGTAAAGGATATTGGCGGATTACAGTCGCAGAAAATCACTGGAAAAAGGAGGCGATGAGGGGTAGGAATTGTCAGCGTCAGCGGTAGAACACTGAATGCGGAGGCGAAATAAGGCGATTTTCAACGTCAAAGGAATATAATATGCTGCATGGAAAGGAAGCGAAGAATGAAAACGAAAATGAAAATTTAGAATTGTCAGATCGGGGGCAGAAACTTGGCTTCTATTTGGTAGAAGTTACGCAATAGGTTTATCTACAACATCGGGAGCGAAAATTCAATTTCTCGCGACAAGGGAAAAGGCAAGAATAGACTGTAACAACGAAAGTGATAAAAGAAATATCTTAAATACTAATTTAATTGTCAATAACAATAAGAATTTGATATTTAAAGCGGGAAGAACTCTTTTACCGAAATATATAAAAATGTAGCCAGATACAAATTTAAAAATAATTTTCTTAGATCATTAAAATAATTACGTATATAGGACACTTAAGCTGATTGCTAAAATGTCAAAACTTTTTGCAATATTTATCATGCTTAAGCGTTTTACATAATTATTGTTTAACAAAATTATTTTCAGATCTGAATCTAGCTAAATTTTTAGGTATTTCAGCAAAACCGTTCTTTACATGTAGAATTTAAAATTTTATATGTATATATATAACATTTTATAAATTATATGTATATATAACATTTTATAAACTATATTTTAATACATGTATTGCGAATAATATATAAACACAGATGCATAAATTATATAATAAAAATAATTGATATAATAGAAGTAAATTATAATTCATAGTTTTTAGGCGAAAGGTGTATTTAAAAACTACACGGACATATATTATTTAATTTGTATTTATAAATTCAAAGTTAATTAAAGTGTTAATTAAAGATAACATTCGCATATAGTATGAAACTCGAATAACGTTAAGTCACAGATAAAAGGAATCTAATCTTATTGAACAGTGTTAAACCGGGTTTTTTGTACAGAATCCGTAGGTAACGAAAGACTAATCCACGCAAACAGAGCAAAACAATCGCGCGCGGAGAGAAGTCACAATGCCGCGAATTAAAAACGTATCGCGGTGGATAAAGAGCGAATCCTTTGAGGGCGAGATGCGTAAGAAACTGGGAATAAAAAAAAAGGAGGAAACTTAAACAATAGACCGATTTAAACCGAGTTATCCAACGAGGATCTCCGGTACATTGCCAGCCACGAATCTCGTTACGGATGCTCAGCGTCCGGTTTCTACCGCGCTCGCGACATGAAATTTATAAAAGATTTTCCACAGGAGATTTAATCTTCGGGCTTAATCGAAAAGTAAGCATAAGATCGAAAGATCCACAAGAAGACGCGGGGAATTCGCGAGAGAGAGAAAAAGAATAGAGATAGGAAAAAGAGAGAGAGAGAGAGAGAGAGAGAGAGAGAGAGAGAGAGATATGCGTTCGATAAAGTCCGCGGAATGGATTCGTCCGCAGTGTCGCCGTAAGGAGGAAAGTCCGCCGCTCGAGTCGGCGGGCGAGCGGAAACTCAAGAATGCGGAGAAGCGAAATAAAAGGACTCTAAGTCCAAAGGAGGATGCTGAGCTTCAGTCTGAGAGGGATGAGATCGAGGCGAAGAAGGAGGACGACGATCAGGACGGGAGAAAGAGCCGCGCGAGAGAGACAGAAAGACAGAAGAAGAAAGATAGAGAGTAAGAAGGGAAGAAAGAAAGAGAGGCGAGAGAGTGTAAAAGGATGAGGTGCGGGTATAAGAAGGAGAGAGACGCCGAGGATGCTGAAGAACAAGAAGAAGGGGGAGGGGGGGGGGTCAGAGGAGGTGGGATGGCCTAAGGTAGCGAGAGTGGAATACTGGAATGCGCTCCCAGAGGCCATTTCAGTTCGATGTCCTCCGTTCGCTCTCCTGTCTTGCCCACTCCAACCATCTTCCTCCTTCCCATCCCCCTCTCTTTCTCTCTATCTATCTTCTTTTCTCTCTGTCTCGCCGCTTTGCGTCTCTTCATGGCCTGGTGCGATCTGCCTGTCCCTCTTTCTCTCTCCCTCGCGTCTTCCTATTTGTACATCCGTCTCTCTTTCTCTTTTTCCTCCGCGTTCCTTTCGCGAAGCTACGCAGCATCTTTCACCTAGAGCTTAGACGATCCTTGGCCATTAATCCAAGGATCCACTACGGCCTACGGGGTCCCTACTGCTCCTTCTTCGCGACATCCGCACGCTGCTTGCTTGCCCGCCGGTTTGCCTTCTTACCTGCCTGCTTGCCTGCCTGCTTGCCTGCGCCGGTCATCGGCTTCGCTTCGCTTCGCTTCGCAGGACCACCTCGACGATCCAGACGCGTCGTCTTTCGGGTATGCGACGACATTCCCGGTCATTGGTCCGACGCGAGTTTTCGCAAGTACCGCCGTAATTCGTTCGTGCGTTGCCGTCCTTTCGGCGCGTATTGCTCGTACGTCTCCGAGAGCTCACGAGCTAAATATATGTACATGCTTTTATAATACGCATTAATTCTATTTGCACGCGCGCACACAGCACATTTTTTTAAATATATGTGCGAAAATCTCTCTTGATTCTTTTCCAAGCGTTTTGTTATCTCTTTAACGTGTTATCTCTTTAAATTTTAATTAATATCATTATAAGTCAAGAATAAATAAAAGCTAAAACTATGATCATTAATTATAATATATGTACATATATTACAAACAAGTCAGGAGGAAATAAATGTTAAAATTACAAGAGTTAAAAGAAATTTCAAAAATCTTCGAAGATAATTCAAAGCAATGAGACGGGACGTCTAGTAATCCCAAGTTCCCCAGCTCAGAGACCTTCCGATCGATCGGTAATCGGCATTCTCACGGTATTAGCCTCTCGCTGATCCCAACAAGTATTCTTTCTATGTAATATAAGTTTGCTCTCTCAATGCTCGCCCGTGACTTCGTCGAAAAATCGCCAGAGGTTTATCATGTCGGCGACACGTGTCGCGCTCGCGGTACCACCAGTCATTTCGTACGTGCGTGTACGTGTGTACGTTGCATGTGCAAACGGGGATAAGGTACGCGCGGTCGTACCTTATCCCCTGGAGTATTGTTACCACGCTAGAGCTATCACTACGTGCGGATTGTGCCTGCGGTGTCAGCAGCGTCGAGTCGCGATAAAATAAGAAAAAAGAAAAGGAAGAAAAGAGCATTGACTTCATGAAGCGATGAAGCGTTGTGGATTCGCTCTTCTCCGCTTGGACAAACCCGCAAACTACCACTTGTGCTAGGACGCATCAGTTTCCCAAACGCCTTTTCGTTTTATCGACAGACTCTCTGAGTAATTCCGTGCGGATGTTCTTTCAGCTAACACCAAGCACACAAATGGTACATGAATTACAAGTCGTTGAAAGGAAATTCTTCTTTGATCACTTTTAAATGGTAATTAACTCTTAGATTACTAATCGCGCGCATTAGTCTACTAGATTGCATTCTAATTAACATATTAATCTGTAAGATTAATAGTCATTAAGCCTAGATTAAGTAACCTTAATGTTTATTTAATTTTATTTCAAGGTTTTAAGAGTTTAACTTTTTTTAAAATATTTTTTAATGCAATATTGAAAGAGTGATTTACTTATCGAGATAACTAATCTTGAATATATCTGTTACTCTAACGTATAATGAATTTCCATGACGTTGTCTCGAAATCATTTGTCATCAAATTTATAGTCGAACGTTTTTTGAATATCATCTTAATATTAGATTAGCTTATAACAAAGGAGTGTCTTTAGTGCAAAAGTTTAACGCAGGGTAATCTATTACGACAATGACGTAAACGAACAAGCTGATTGTACAAAGCGCGATGGCGATAACCACACAATAGGAATTCCATTCTTGTCGATCTTCATTTACGTCAATAGTTTCCTTGGTTGGCATACGTACGTCGAAGTGTCATAACCGACGTACGATAGCGATAATGGTATGTATATCGCTCGCGGTGGACAAGAGCCAAAGGAGGAAGCGCTTATCAATGCATTTTCGAAGTCGTCCGTTTTACGTGCTCGCGTCACGAAAGATATCACGAGGAAGTAGATAAAGGAATTTTTACGCAAGTGAAATCGAAATAAACAAATTTCCCTGAACGACAAGCAGTTAAAAGACACGGCATTTACATTTACATTCGCCTGGCCAATGCCACACGGGCAAAACGAGGAAGTTGTAACATTTCTCAATTTGTTTAAACCGCATATATTAAGATACGACGCGTAGAGCTCACGTAGGCAACAGGGCAGCGAGAGAGAAACGAGAAACGTCGCCCAAGGTTGCCTGGAATTAGCGCCGCGAGTCTTAAAAATAGTTCAGGGAATTTCCTAATTAGGCGCGACGATAATTGAAGTCATCTCGCCGAAGTAGTCTCGCAGATGGGGAACGAAGATTTCTCTACGGGAAGATAAAACAATAGGAATAATCCAAGCAGAACAAAAAGTCGTCACGACATCAAAATGTTCTCAAAATGATTATTAAAAGTCATTTTATGACCACGATTCTCATTTTAACGTCATTTTAACGTGACCTGTTGTTCTGCTTGGGAACATACGGCAAGAAAGTTGAAGCGAAGTTGAGTTACTACTCGCTAATCTCTCACGGGCCGCTCGGTCAAAGACCATCGGCGGCTATGAAAAATCGCACTACCACTTGGCCTTGAAATATTTCATGTGCGATCGCCACCTACGTATGCGTGTCCTGCGAGTACACGTGCGGATCCGCGACGGCGGCACGCGTGTTTATATGCGTACGCGAATGCATCGGTATGAGGAGGCATCAGCCTTGGTGCAGCCGGCAGCCTTGATCTCCAGCAGCGGTTCGTTAGCTGAGCTAATGGCCAAGCGGGTTATTAGGATACTACCGCGAATTTATCGATATCGAAACGCGCGATACTTGTCGACGATGCACGAATGAAGACGTAATATTGGAGAAGATATGCGTGTGGACCGAGAGTTAGCAAGTCTGGCTTTATTTTTCACAAAAAATCTGATATTAGTATTTTATTTTATGTCGAAGTGAAATTAAGTTGGATTAGTAACTTAAATGCACAAATTTTATTAACATTTTATGAACGAAGCTTCGATTTTTGATTCAAGAGATAAACAGAATTTAAATGTTTATCTCTTTTTATAAATTAATGAAAGCTAATTTCGGGTAATTTATATTTATAAAATATATACACTTATCTCAAGTGATATTTAAATCTGTGGAATATTTCATATAGCGTATAATATTTGAAAGAATTCCTGATAAAAATTCGCAATCCTCGGTTTCCGTATTCATCCATAAAATGTAAAAAAATGTATCTCCGCGACTGAATTTTGCGGAAAGCAGTTCGTACTGTGACTATTCTTAGCAATCCTGTTAGGAATAATTAAACGAAAAAAATAACAGGCCGGATTTAAGTGACATTGCGAAAATCATACATTGACGTAAATAATTCATTTGTAGCACGTGGAAACTTAGTATATCGCGAAACCGGTTTCTCGCATTATTCCCGCGTTGTTTATCTCACGATAATTATGTACGGAACCAGTTGTCGTGCCGATGGAAGTCGAGATCGTCTCGAATTCCTGCAGACCGATCATCTGCCCGCGTTTGAGTAGTTTATGTTTGCGGGATCGAAAATTTAACGCGAACGAGGGAGGACGGTTATGATACGTCGTCGACGATGAAGTCCCCCCAATGCGATAACTTGAATAATTTATTTACTGGCAAGTGCACGAAAACGATTATGTATACGTTGAAATTCGTCGGAATTCGAACAGGTGGACGAGTATCGCTGTTAATCCGATGGCATTTAGTCAACTTGTTAATGAACGGAGACACATGTATTATGCGGTCCGCCAAGGACGACTTCAAAAGCATCGGGACTGCTACCGCGTAGCATGTTATGTTGTTATCAAGTCGATTGAGAAGATCTTTGTATCCTTGATCTCTCCCAATACCAAAGACAGGGAATATCAAAACGAGCCGAAGACGATGCTGAAAATTATCCGATCTGTCCATCGTATGAATCTTTATCGGATTGTCGATCTAATAAAGTGCATTATTTAAAGAATTCTTTTCGTATGCAATTAATGATACTATAAATATTTATTGATGATAAATAAGCATCAAAAACGCATCGATATGTTTATTCTAATATTTACAAATGAATTTAAATTGATTTTTTTGTCGTATATATATATATATATATAAATACTAATGAGAATAATAATTATTGTTGTTAAGAACTAATAATAGTTATTTATGATAATAATAATGACTATTATTAGTTCGATAGAAATTAATTATACTCATTATAATTATAATGGTTTTAATTATTAATAATAATGTTTCATTCTAAAAACTGATCTATAATCACATTGATCTCTTCTGTGACAGCCCTTTCCATTAAATTTCTTTCGAGCTACAAGTGATCTGATCCTCTGCACGTCGCGTCGACGATAGTCACCTGCATCTCACGATCTCAACTAATTATAGTGACAACCTGATAAAGAGACGCTTAGTACCGCCATTATGCTCGCGGCGTAGCTTTCTATCACGCTTTCTATTCACGGAGAGAAATATCAAAATCACCGATCGAGGTTTGTTTACTTATTCGATTCGACAGTCGATTAATTCACCCAGAACTTTCCGATACATTTCTTAATTAAGAAAAAAAAACCAAAAATATATTAATATAATTAGGAACACAGTTACAATGAAAGTTGATGCTTGCTAAATTATTTGCTTATTGCTTCAGTTAAATTACTATTCATTGCTTTTCCAATAATTAGTCTCTCAATCTGAAGGTAATTAATAATCCAGATTTAATTAGCGTAAGTACTCTACACCGTAACTCTACCGAGATTTCAATGAGACAAGTTATTACCCCAACGAAATAAGGTATCCCCGAATTTTTAATTACGACTCAAGTACGATACTAAGACGAACATTTATAATCGAGAATGTACGAGGTCCGAGTGAGTCAATGCGGTAGACTTTAGGAACGTTGAAATTTTATCCGTTGGGAATGGGACAGTAATGAAGCATACATATTTAGCGATAATGGAATTGGCAGCGAAACTGTCGCCGCCGCCGCCGCCGCGACGCGTCGCACCGGTTACGTAAGACCGCCGCGACAGGAAAGGCTGAAAGGAAAGAGCGAGGACGCCTCTCTGGCGAATGAGGAAGAATTATAGTTCTTGGACCAGCGCACAAAGGTGTCGTAGCGCGAGAGTAAAAAGCCGAGTGCCGATAAGCCAAGTTGGCAGAGTCCGAATCGCGCGGGGCTAAAAAAGCAGAAAGATATCACCCTCTTCCCGCAACAGGGGGAGGAAAGAGATAGATAGAAAAAGAAGGGAGATGAGAGCGAGAGAGAGGAAGGGAGCTGGAGTGATATCATAATTCCTAGCGTTTCAAGATTGCTACTCTCCAAGAGGAGCCGGCTCCTCTCCATGGACGCAATAATACATCGGACGTAAGGAAAGAAAAAAAATACTCCTGGCACGGCCGCAGGAGACATCAGGTATTCGTTTGACTCGATCGAGAATGCGGATACGAAGCTCCGGAGTAAACAGTCGCCGCAAACTAATTCAATTGCGTTACGCGGTTATGCTAATCGAGCTATTAACGAATGCGGAAGGGGCGGTCGTATATCAATTTCACGTTTCCGATCGATGATAACCGCCAAGAGTTAACGTCGCCGCGCCGGTAGTATCCACGCTCGCTTATCTCATTTACCTTGGTGAAATCAATGGTATGCAAAACTTGCGATCGTCCGCAATAGGAATTTTTTCCCCGCTGATTGCACTTAATTACCATTACATTTTTATGCGCTCGTCGATTAACACATTCGCTACCGACTGTCTTATACCCGTAGCGTCTACTTCTCATCTAGTGGATCAGCACACATATGTGACACACACGAGACTAGAAAAAAAAAAACCTGTGGCCTGTCAGTCGATTTTTCAGCCTTGATAGTGAATGTGTCTGAATCTGATAATATGTAGGGATTTTGCAAATAGAAAAAAGAAAGGAAAAAATTAATTCGTAAACAAGACATGCCATGTAATGCGATACTTTATATGATAAACATCTTTATCTGATACTTATTATACAAAAGCGAGCGTGCTTCTCTAATGAAAACCAGACTATTTAACATCTGGATGCTCGACACGCGCGCGCGTTCCTTTTGTCGGGGATTCTCTATCAATATTCCAAAATAGCTTATCTGCAAGTCGATAGCCGTTATTATTATGCGCGAAATAGATTCACGTGGACCGAAATTCTGCGGACGATAAATTCGACTCGGCTCAGCCCCAGAGAGTCGTCGATATAGCTTCGACTGTGCGTCCCTTTCGCTTCCACGATTTTACAAGCGTCTTGCGCTCGCTCAATTAGGCCACTTCGGTGCAGCGCATATGCTATATCGAACGGCTTTAACGGCCTTTATAATCTTATCGCTCGTTAAATGAAAGAAAGGAAACCAAACGCGGCCAAGTTGGAAACAACCATCGACAATGTAAGGAAGCAATCATGCCCACGAAGCTTGCCTCGTTTGCCTTTAAGATCGATCGTACCCTTTTCGAATGTCGGTCATCGATCGAGAGAGATCCAAATGTATTCTTCTCAATCGCGTACGCTCCGTTAGACTCCACTCCCCCTATTGTCCGAATAAATCATCGGCGTGCTAACGAGTGCGATAGAAAGATAAATCGCGTGTTGTTTCCCTTTCCACCGAATAAACCGGGGATCGTATATTATCGTTCATGCGCGAACGAAGCGTCTTTGAAGGATAAACGACACGCTATTACGTCGTCTTTCTTTTATAGTATCAAAAATCAATCCGTCTCGTTTACTCGAGACTCTCTCTCTCTCTCTCTCTCTCTCTCTCTCTCTCTCTCTCGAAAAATTCGAGCGCGCACATGCGATTGCGCGGGTTATTTTAAGGGGATGCTGGAGTGACCAAATTATCATATTACAGTCGTATAAAAATCTTCGAATTGACTGAACGGAATAAAAAATCCTTTTAAGGGATTAAAGAAAACGCAAAATTAGGAGGTGGTGCAGTGGATTTTATATTATACTAAAATCGAAAGAATGTTAAAAAATTTTCTAACTTTTTCGATTTTAGTATAATATAAAATCCACTGCACCACCTCCTAATTTTGCGTTTTCTTTAATCCCTTAAAAGGATTTTTTATTCCGTTCAGTCAATTCGAAGATTTTTATACGACTGTAATGTAATAATTTGGTCACTCCAGCATCCCTTTAATACACGTAGAATAAAAAATGGAAGAGGAGGAAAAGAGAAAGAACGGGCCTTATATATCCTTTATTCGCGCCGGATTACGAAATCAACGTATGCCGTTCCGAGGTCAGTAGACAGAGAAGCGAGGTGTGACTCATGCGTGCACGCGTGTATCTCGTGAACCGCGTGTCTCAGATTCTGGGACCCGGCGCGGGCGCTCTCGAAGAGCACTGTCGATTGTCCGAAGTGGTGAGCGACGACGTCGCGTTCGGGCGCGTTGCACTCGAGGAACGGCAACACGAGTCGACTATGCATCCTCGCATTCCTCTCTCACGCTGCGGCGGCGGCCAGGGCCGGCGGCCCACACACAACTATCAAACATTAGAGGGGGCCCCCGATGGCCACCGCGCTCGTATAAGGCCTGTCTCGCCTCCGTGGGCCCCTCCTGTCCCACCCTATACTGGTCCCCATCCTTCCTGCACCACCCTCCGGCCCCGCGGCGGATCATACGTACGGATACATCGATGAAGAAGAACGAGAAAGAACGATAGATAGAAAGAGAGAAAGAGAGAGAGAAAAGAGAGAAAAGAGAATACGTGTACCTTGATACGGCCCCAGTCGGCCGACCGGCCTGGTTGGACCCAGGTTCCTGCTGGACCCTCGTCCCTGCGTTCCGAGAAGTCGCAGACTGCAACGAGGAAAGTGCCAACTCCGTTGCAGACACAAAAGAGGTGGCTGTCCACGCCGCCCATCGTGACGTAGCTAGTTTTGCAACAAAGTATGCGCACAATATTTTTCTTCTGAGTTACGTGGCAGTTTTTGTTCGACTCGATACTCATGAAATCCGAAGAAGCAACGGCGTACACAGAGAAAAAGATTTCTTTGGATTTAATAAATTTTATTGTAGCCAAATAAACTTGTTATTTGGAATGGTCTAAACAAACCAATGTTTAAATTTGAAACAATGTATATCAATTTGAGACAATGTATCTTTGTCTTAAATATATTATTTGTTTGAACAGACAATGTCTATCTTCGGCATTCGCGTGATCAAATTATACGATACAAACGTAATTGATATAGCACACAGCACTGCTTATTTAATCTTATTGTTAGACGTCTAAAGCCATTGTTTCTGTAATTTCGGTCAAAAAATGTAATGGTTCTAAGAAAATAATTATTTGCATGGGATAATCTATCAATATATTTTGCCATTTTCAAATAAATTTGTTTCATTGTTTGTATTTATTGTAACCAAATAATATATTATTTGATTGAAAGATATCACTTCAAATAATAATGTTATTTCTGTCAAATAATAAAGGTTTCTTGAATGAAACAATTTTTATTCAAACAAATAATATTTCGTACAAGCATATGTTAGCATTTGAAACGAATTTTAATCAAATAAATAGGAATACCAAATCCAAAGAAACCTTTTTCTCTATATATGGTGAGATCAAGTTATAAATTCAATAGAAGAACGTTAATCATTAATAAATAATTGGCGTGCAAATTGCTTGAACTAGAAATTGTAAGATTTACACAAAAATATTAGCATCAAAATCCGACTGAATATGGATGGACTGAATATCTTCTTCGTTTATTTTTGTTGAATGTTTAGTCGATTTTTATTTATTTGTTAATCATTAGCTAATTAACATTAAAACCTATCTCTTTAGGAAAAAAATCTATCTCTTGACTACAACAAAAAATATTTCAAATTTCACGTTTGTAAAAGTTCTATTTCGTAATCATATAGAGCTTGAACAATTTAAGTCATGTGATATTTGAAACGTTTTCCTCGTTTTCTTCGAGATTACTTGTAACATTTCCTTTAATAATTTATAGCGACGTATATCTATGTAGTTTGTGTCAATACCTTATATATCATGTAACGATTGGATGAAAATTATTCGTGCGGCACTAACGATGAGAGAAAGCACATGAAATACGTTCAAAGATCGTACGACAAAGACGAGGAAAGCCTAGAAGAAAATTAGTAGGTAATTTAGTATATTTGAGTTCTTGGAACGAGGAATCGAACGAATGAAAAGCGATTCTTCGTCGATTGTAAAAACATTAAGCAACGTCAATTGACGCGCGCGCGATAGAACAGGTAGGACAGGTCACAGGTCACAGAACTGGGCAGGGCAGGGTAGGGCAAAACAGGAGTGACTATCGTAGCCTATACTGCGATTCATTAGTTAAATAATGCCTGCACGACCCGGTCATCGGCCGGAGACCGCTGCTGTTGTTCAACAGACCTCCACCGTCGACCAGGTCGACCAGTTTTCGCGAGACACAACCGCGAATAAAACAAAAGCCAGGCCGGCGTTACACGGACATAGCGGATTGTTCAGTCAAACCAGCTGGTTGTTATTCGCTCGGAGATTAAACAAAAGTTATGATCTCGTTCGGAGATTATGGGTGGTTATTATTCGTCGGCGTAAAGGAACCCGGCTGTATAGGCATTTCCATCCCGTGAATCTGAAATACGGTGTTGTTGCATATATACCCGAAAGTGGGTTGCACATTGTCAGATTTAAATCCTGTTTCGCGATAGCCTACATCGGCTATTAGACGGGCCCCTCTCTCAGGTAGACAGGTATACCGCACAGTTGCGGGAACAATGGACGGTTAAACGAGAACGTAAACACCGGCTTTTCGAAGAGATCAAACGTGGCCTCGACGAAGCTGTTCTTCGATAAGAGATTTTTCGACCGCGATAAAGTCCGACAGTTGGTGTAACAGCAATCACCTCATTCACGCATCTCCACCTTCCGCCGTAGAGACGTATTAGCATATAGTTTTCCAGGATGATGAACAACATATAATTATGTGTTCAAAATTATAATCTTTTATTTTGCGTTATATATTGTTAACCTTCTGAGGACCGGCATGTTTTTGATCGACTTTTTTATTTTTAGGGCTAGAACTTTTTTGTCAATATCATGGGGTTGAGTGGCGAAAAAGATGGCGCCATTGTCGAGTCCCTAAAGAGACCTCCAGAGGTTAAATATTGAAGAATCAAATTTAAACCGATTCTTTATGTAGCATTTTCTTATTTTTAACTTCCAAATGTATCAAAATGTATTGTTTTAATATAAAACATGTGAAAACATGTTAAAAAACTAACCATATCAAGTTTACCCATTTCTACTTTGAATTATTTCAACATAAACAACGTTTAAACTGACGCACTTAATAAATAATAAATTAAATGAGTTAAATTAATGTTTACATTTCTTGAGTTAGATTGTTTATCTCCGTTGCTTTAATTAAATTAATGACGTTGAGTAGGAGTATAGTAACGACTTATAAAAGTAATTAAAAATAACGCAAATCGCGGGTATAATGTATAGAAATTTGTTCATTGAGGATCTCAAACGAGAGCTGAAACGTATGCTTATTATTTTGTGCATCTTTATGTATCTGTCGTGAATTAAAGTTTGTTTTTTTATTAAGTTGATTGCGCTCTCTGCTGAGAGTGAATAATTTAACATTATGAATCTAACGGTGTACATGTTTACATACGTTTTAATTGCTAAATTTCTGATAGAATATAGAATCAAGTGTAATTTAGTACGAATGTCCTAAATTCATCTCTGCTCCGGCTCAACAGCCGGGGGATAGTCGACCCGGTTGGTGCGTTCGTTAACTTAAATCGGGTCCCCCGATAATTCGCGTCAGACAGGTCTGGCCGGAGCTGCTGGGCCTGGCGCGCGAGTTGAACAATGGAAAGGGCTGAATGAGTGCATGAACGCCGCCGCTGATTCTCTGATCGGATTTCGGCGGTGAGAGGGAGGAGAAAGAGGGAGTTCCTTGACTCGTTGGCGCGGCAGACTAAGTCCGGAGGCTGGCTGGTCGATCTAAATACTGTGGTAGATACGATCGCACGTCCCGCAGAGAGATTCTACGCTATGTATCTATCCGGTTGCATGCACTCGCTACTTCCGACGTAACGATAACTCGGACGATAGCTAACGATGCCGCCTAAGAATCGACGATTGGCCGAACAGATTTTGCCAGGGCACTCGTGTAACCGGTATAGATGCGGCGCAACTTTAACATCTGGGAAATTATGTTATTTACTGCAGTACTTTTCGCAGATGTTCTACCGAAGGCTGTGACTCTGTTAGTCTTTTGCGGTTCTACGTCGAGGATTAACGGATCGACCAGTTACTTCTTGACCGGTCCAGTAGGAGCCGCCTCGTCTTTTCGCCGTTACCGAAAGGGTTGGGCGTCCATAGCGAGTTAACGCGGTTTCGATACCCGAAGTCCGGTGAGATCCAACAAAAACCGCCGAGTGCGATGACTCGACGCAAGAAGCCCGTTTCTCCCGTTAAGCGTGCTGCACGGTTTATTACCGCGCCGTTCTATTTACGGCATTGCAATATTGCGCGTATGCTACCGCCGCAGCCTCGCGTAGATACGTTCGAAAAAGCGGATACAGCCAAGAACGTAATCGCCGAGTCAAGAATAAAAGCAGGAAGTGCTTCATTCCTATGTAAATCCGTAGACGGCGCCGTGAGTACACACCTCCCAGACTTCCTTTCACTACATAGACAATGTGATGATAGCTGGGAGGAGTAGCCACAGCGTGTGCACTCGCGATTAAACATTAGATTTGAGAGCGACTCGATGGCAGTCCTCTTTTCCTTTCGACTCTCGATCGAGTCGATGACCAGAAAAAGGAGGCAACGGTAGACAACTAAAAAAAAGATCTCGCACTCTCGACAACAAAACAGCGTTTCTCCCCCGAGTATGAATATGATCGACGATGGCTCGGCTCGTGGGTGACTTTCTCGAAGCTTTCTCGACTCCGATCCAAACGACGGGCGGCTATATCGGCGATGAGGAAAGATTACCGAGGAAAGTACTCGCCATCGTGCTAAGGTCACTTAGGTAGACGGAGAACACGCGTGCGCGTATGAGTGCTACCACGAAGTCAATCGCCTCCCCTTGAATAGTGAACGGTGACTTTCACGAGGAGACTCTCGAAAGCTCGAGCAACGCGCGATTCTTGAATACAGGGCTGTTCGGAAACAATTGACTGCTTCTTCGACCAGTCTGAAGTCGAATCTTCTTTCTTAAATTGCGGATGAAACGAGAATTCCAAGAATTTTAGGATGTCTTGTAAAAATCGTAAAATAATCAGATTGTTTATAGATTATATAGAGTTGCTTTTACTTGCAAAATTGTTACCTTGAATCGACCGTTAAAAGATCTTGGTTAGTTTAATATAATCCTTGAGATTATAATAGATTACAAAAATTTTTTCTTTCTATAATTTTAATTAATTTTCTTTTGATAGAAATTTGATAGAAATAAATTCTGATAAAAATGTAGAATAAAAAAATTTTAATTTCTAAATATCTAATGTATCGAAATATTATCAGGAGAACACGGTAGTGTCTTACGCCATGGATTAAGTATTATTTTACCCATATTGTATTTTGAATCATTAAAGACACATCCATAACTTTATGTTTGTTCTAGCAACAAAACAAACGATTGCACACGATAGTATCATCAAGTTTTTTTACGACGCGATAATGAGCTCTAAATGTCTAATGTATCGAAGTATTATCAGGAAACACGGTAGTGTATCGCGTCATAACAAATTTTATTACATTGAATTAATTATTATTACATTAAATTAATCATTAAAGAATCTCAGTTAATTAATCTTTGAGATTATAATAGATTACAAAAATTTTCTTTTCATAGTTTCAATTTATTTTCCTCTCATAAAATTTGATAGAACTTGAATAAATTCTGATATAAATCAACTGGAGGCTTAAATTTTACAATATATCAACTTCAACTCTTTTTTCTGTTTTAGAATCTGTAGATAAAAAGCACCCAGTTACAGCGCACGTTGAAGAAAAAAAAATTAATGTAAGCTAGAGGAAAGTGTCAAATTTCCTATTTATT